TCCCTTCCCTTCCCTTCCGCCCCCGTCCCCGCTTTGGCTACAGCTTTTGATGTTCCTTAGGCAGGCAGACTTAATGTCTTTCATGAGATGCAGTCCCTTCAGTCAGGACTCTTTCATGACATGAAAAGATTTCTCTGTAATTTTTTTGTATTATTATTTTGATGTAAGCTGTTAAAATATGGAGAAAACAGTGTCTGATTATTTAAAGATAAAATCCAGACTGGGTCACATATCGCAAGACTCAGTCTACTTTAAATTGATGAGCTGAGGGAATATTGGAGGATTTTTATTCTCAGTAGTCGTGACAGGAGAATGAGGGAGGTGGGAGTGAAAGCTAGATCGGTTCTGAGCAGCTTTCCCTCCAGTTCTGCCGGAGGTGTCTCTTAGCTCTTCCTCACTGCAGATCCAGTGCCTACGGTCTTGGTTTACACTTGCTCATATTATTGCCACTGCTTTTCTCAGAAATGTTCAATCATGAAACTCATCCGGGAGAAAAAAAAAGAAGTTATTTCTAATGAAGAACCCTTGAACACTTGGTTGCTGTAATCACCTTATATGCTAGTGCACGTGCAGGAGACAAGCACATCCACTCTCTCCTGAAGGCTTCTCTGCCTAGAAACTGAGACATGAAAAACACTCTAATTTTGCTCTGCACCTTCAGGTGGAGAAGAAGAGTCTGTGCTGAGGGGCTGGCCAGTAAGCGTAGGACCTAAGTTAGGCAAGACGTATCTTTCTTTGACTTTTAAGCAGTGCAGAGTTTGACTGTCTGCAGGGGCACAGCTGCAGCGCAGCAGCCCTCTTTTCTCCCCTTCTCCTGTCATGGATGGCTCATCTGTGGAGGGAGAGAGGGATGCTATTCATCAGAGCTGGCAGGGTGCAGCACGTAGGTGTGTAGGAGAAGGAGAGGCTGTGCACAGCGCCTGTGTAGACAGTACAAGGACAGCGTGGGTGGGCAGAGGGGGGTGAGGGTGTGCAGCTGTCAGAGACCAAACACGTGTCTCCAAAACTTTTACCAGCATGTCATACTGCCCAGGCACCACCTGCCCCGCTCAGAGCCTTTCCTTCTCTTGTGTTAAGGTGCCTGCAAAGCTAGGGAGGCTAAACCTGCAGAGACTCCCCCTCACGCTTCCTCTTGCCCCTAGTGCTGTTTCACACAGGGGCAGCTTTGGGGGGGCACGGGAACACAGAAACCTCGCCTTGCCTCCCTCACCCACACCGTGGGAAGGAGTAGTACTCCACAGGTTGGAGCAGCAAAACCCCCCTTCCCACTCCTCTGCTCTCCCCTTGGGACTTGTCAGAACCTCAGAGCCCCAAGAGAACACTTCTTTTCCTCAGGGCCCGTGTCGTCCTCGGAGAGAGGGTCTTGAAGCAGATGCGGATGGTGCTGAAGGGACAGCTCTGGCGGGGGGTGGGCCGGACCGGACCGGGGTCCGGGACATGGGGAGAATCGGGAAGGGAGAGGCCGGACAAGAACAGGACTGGGGAGGGAGATAAAAAGAGGGACGGAGAAGGAGAAGAGCAGACCGGAGCTGAAAAGCACAGGAACAAATACAGACACAGGGAGAGACACGGGGCATTAGACACAGAGAGACAGACATGGGGCAGGGACAGAGAGAAGAGGGACAGGACAAGGCCGAACCGAGCAGGACAGAAAAAAAAAGCATGAGGGGAAAGCGAGAATGAGAGAGAGAGAAGGAGAGCAGGGCAGACGCCGGGCTGTGCTCCTGCTCGGCTGCCATGGGGATCTCGGCACAGCCAGTTGTAGCAGCGGCTCCGCCGGCGCCAGACACGCCGGTACCGGGCGGCACCCGCCGCGCCTGGGGACAAGGGGACTGCAAGGTGGCAGCGCAGTGGGGCCGAGGTGGGGACCCCTCCGGGCCGCCGGGGCTTTGCAGGCACCGCGGCGCTGGGAGCCCTTGGGGCTGCCGGCATGGGGGTGCTCGGGGTGCCGGGGCACCTACACGGCCACCCAGCTAGCTGCCCGCCGCGAGTGGTCCCTCGGGCTTTCCTGAACCCTGACGATGCCGGCTGAGTCCCAGGGCCGGGGGTGCCCGCCCGCCCGGCAGGGATGCGCCGTGCCCAGTCGGAGCCGCAGCTGCAGCAGCGGGGCCGCCCCGACCCGGTAGCCGAGCGCTGCAGGTTGCCTCCGGACAGCACTCGACCAGCTGTTTTGTACATTTTCTAATTTCGTGCAGAACAGGGCAGCGGTCATAGAGGTAATCTGTAGATCCGTGGCTTTAAGGGAAAAATTAGAGCACTGGATTTGATCCGTATTGCAGTGGATTAGAGCAACCTATCCCCCCCTCCCCTTCTCCTCCTCCCACCCCTCCTTTCCAATTCACTCCCCCCTCCTTCAGCACCACCTTTTTTCCTCTCATGCAATACCAAAACTGACCCTGCCTGGCAGAGGGACTCTGCTAGGCGAACAGAGCGGTGCCCACGTCGCCTGCACACCGCGGGAGCCGCCTCTCCCCTTCCAGCCGCCGCAGCCCCTCCGGGGCATCGCTGCTGCAAGTTCCCCGGAGGAAGGCGCCGGGGCCGGGGTATCTCCTCCGGGCGCCGGGGAGCGGTCGCTGCCCACGGGCTGTCCCTTTGCCCCGGCCCGGCCGGGGCCGTGAGGCAACGACGAGGGACAGCGGTCCCCGGAGGGCATTTCCCGGAGGCAGCGGGGCCGGGACCTGGCAGGAAATGGAAGGATGAAGTGTGCAGCCGGAGCGGTGATGTTCCTTCTCTCCTTGCTTTCCCCCGCAGGAACGTAATCCGCAATGCTAGTTCTCAGGTTGCTCAATGTTGTGGCTCCAGCCTACTTCTTGTGCATCTCCCTAGTGACCTTCGTCCTCCAGATCTTTCTCTTCATTCCCAGCATGTTCAGAGACCCTTCCACCACCCCACTTTTCTCTCCTGCTCTGCTGCATGGGGCACTCTTCCTCTTCCTCTCAGCTAATGCCCTGGGCAACTACGTCCTTGTGATTCAGAGCTCCCCCGAGGACTTGGGCAAGGACTTAAACTTGGGCAAAGGAGGTGAAGTGGCGGACTGGCTGGATGGAAGCAGGTCCCCTGGCTCAGCCTTGCCCAGCACTCACTTCTGTAGACTGTGTGCCAGAGTCACCCAGAGGCATGACCACCACTGTTTCTTCACAGGGAACTGCATCGGGAGCAGGAACATGCGAAACTTCATCATGTTCTGCCTCTACACCTCCCTGGCTTGCCTTGACTCCCTAGTGGCAGGCATGGCTTACATTTCTGCTACACTCTCCATGTCCTTTGTGGACCCACTGGCCTTCCTCACTCTTCTGCCTCACTCCATCAGCCAGTTCTTCTCAGGTAAGAACACCTAGTGGGTGCCTCCTCTAGGGCTCCTGAGATGGGGGGGACCTGATCTTCCTTGGATAGCTCTGTTGTGGAGGGGTGGTAGGGAAATGGGCAAGAGGGGCAGTTGGCCTGCCCCTTTGGAGGCTAGAGACAGCCTTTGCAAAAGACTTTGCTTCACATGAAATAGAAGCTGGGACCTACTCCACGTTACCGCCACAGCCCTGTTCCTAATGCATTAGGCTCTGGAAAATGCTCCATAGCCAACCTGTTGGTGACAGAATAGGGCTATCTGTTGTGCAGGGCATGTGTTGCAATTAGACAGAGGACATGGATTTCACTCATTGTACTGCAGGTGTGGGGAATCTTTTGCCTGTCTTACAGGCAGAGGTGAGGGGTCTGTAGGTTTTTGTATCCTACAAATCTGCAGGTTCCCTGTATTCCAGCAGATACACCCTCATTCTCCTCATCCAGGTAACCCAGCCCCTCCACTATCACCCACCTCCTGCCTCCTGGCAGTGCAAACTTACTGAGATCTTTTCATCCTTCCAGCACTGGGAAATTGGGATTCAGGCAAGAGAAACAGAGAGAAGAGTTAATGTGACATGATTAGCCACCTCTCTTGTGACCCCAGTCTGAGACACAAGTCCACAGAGAACCAGGGGAAATTCTCTGTGCCCACTCTTTGCAAGAGCTCCACACCAAAAGCAAATACCTTCTCCTTGCTGACATCCCTTATCTTTCTTCCTGCTTCTTCTCCTTTCCCCTCTCTCCTGGCCTTTCCATAAATCTCCACAACCCTTCTCTTTCCCCCTCCTGATGTTGCCCCCATAACTCATCCTCTGCTCTTCCAAACTTGCCTCTTCACCTTTCAACACACCCTCCAACTCTCCAGCCTCAACCCTTTCTCTATCCAAACCCAAGAGCTAGAGAAGGGACTATACAGACAGCTTAGACTGTTACTTTGCCCTGAAAGCAACCATAGAAAACTGACATTTCCCCTCTATGCAGTTCATGCCTTGTACACTTAGATCAGCTTTTACTAAGTTGAAATACGTATCCCATATATTTTAGCTTTGCAGATTCAGCTGAGCTCAGTAAGAAGGGAGTCTGTTTTGGCTTGTGCACTGTCACCGTAAGTGTTGATTATGATCTGAGTGTGGAGTCTCCACTGCTAAGAATACAGGAGCCAGAGAGGCCCCAGATTGCTTTTCAGATTCCAGGCTGGGTTTGCAGGTTTGCCATCTGAAAATAAACAAATTTCTCTCTACTTGGCAAATTAGCAGATTTGTCATGGTAATCACTGAGAGACAATAAACATGAAATCCTGCCATGACATTTTTATAGAGTCATTTTTCCAACTAGAAGAATTTTTGTAAATAATGTAGCATGAGCTTCACTAGCATTAAAAATATTGGGAGTGATTTTTCCCTGTGCCTAAGCTCTGGTCGGCACAGCAGCCTGGGAGGGGGAGCAGGGATGTGGGAGGAGATTATCAAGGAATTAGTTCTCTCTGACTCTGAGGGCTCATTTGCACCGAGCTGCATCCTGGCCCATCTTTGCAGAACCACTGAAGTGACCCAGCTGTGGTGTCAGCAACTGCAGTGCCAAACACAGCAAGTGGGCAGTGTTTGAATGGGACACGATGGGGCTGGGTGCAGGGCTGGGAGCCAGAGCACCCCTGAGAACCTCTAGTTCTGCTGGGTTGAGAACTGATGCCTCATACAGCAATATATAGGCATGTGGTGTCTTGATTGCTTGGGAGAAAGGGCCTACTGGGCTTCTACCAGCACATTTAATCTCCAATTCAGGTAAGAAATACACAGTCTTGAACAGTTACCTGAAAGGGCTGCCCACACAGTATTTTTCATCTAATGTAACTATTACTTAAGGGTTGTTATATGATCCCGAGAATTGCAATAGCAGAGAAAAAGCTTTACCTTTTTTCTCCATCATGCCCACTGTACTGCAGAAGGAGTAAAGGAGGATAAAGGGTGAATCTGCTGGTCTTATGTCAACCAAGTGTTCCTTGTTTTCATGCCGGGAAAAATTTTCAGCTGGCTCATTCTGCCCAGACTGTGTTCAGGCATGGATTTCAGAATCTGACCCAACGTCTGTAATTGCAGCCTATGATTCAGCTTTTCTGTCATGGATAATGTATGGCAATAAGCTTGAAATCATACCAGGTCACTTAGAGCAAAAGTGAATCGGAGACTAAAAGGGACTGTGGCGATGAGGGACAAATGGAGAGCACTTTTGTAAACACAGGTCAGATTGGATCCACTAGAGAAATTATAGAAAATGCTTTATGTAGGTAGCCTGAAAAAAATGTTTAAAAAATCATGTGTCCGGAAGGGATAGCTCAGAGATGCTTAATATTTTCAAGGGGAAACAAGGGTAATTACTTTCTGGACGTTGAATTTCAGCAGCTCATAAAAAACAAAGCTTACAGCTGCCTTGCAAGAGCTCTAAAGAAAATAGCTGTATTTCTCCATGTCCCATCTAAGCATCAGCTACAGGAAAGAACAAATGTCTGTCACATTCTGGTCCAGTAAAAAAGAGACAGAGAATCTTGTATCAGGCTTCCTACCTGGTAAATTAAGTTATTCTGACAGAATTGGTATGAGGATTTGCCATTATCCTAAGGGGCTTGTTCTTCTACTGCTGTGTTGCATGCAGAGCCCACTGAGCTGAATGGGATCTAATAAGAAGGAAAGATGACATTGCATTTTGGGAAAAACCTGAATGACTCCTGAGTGTTTTTCAAGTGAGGACAATCTCTGAAAGCTTTAGGCTGTAGTCAGTGTCCTTACAAATCATCCTCAGAGGAGCATGCCCCAATCTCTCACTTATAGCACTGCCAGGTAGAGAAGCTGGGATTCACAGATTGCAAAACCAGATGATATCACCTAATCCAGCCTTCTGCAGAAGAGAAGCAAGAGATGCATATCAGTGACCCTTGTATTGAACTTAAAAACTGAAGCAGCCATGTACCTCTTTTAGGAAGCACACCTCTACTGTCCATGCAATCCCTGCTTCACCACAGGTCTTGTAGGGGCCAGTCTTCCAGAGGGACAGGAGCATGTGGGAGATCTTTCATTTCTAAACCTTGCAGGAACCAGTGAGAGGATATCAGCTATTGATACTGGTATTGAGACACATTTAACTCCCTTTGTGTAAATATGGGTGTTTAATAATATACCAGTATACACAAAATAACGAGCGTAAACATCATATGGGCACACAGAGAATATTATATTAATGGCTTTAGATTGGTTTATACACTGAAAGGTCACTCAGTGATACCTGCTGTTATACTAACATTTTAGAGAAGGAGTTCTAAAATCACTGTAGAGGAAAGGGCCCACAGAATGTTTTTATTTAAATACATTAATCATAAATATATACTAAAAAAAACCCCGTTGAATTAGGAGCTTCAGATATACAAAGTATTTTGAGTATTCTAGCAGTAACTTAAAAAAGATTTTGGACCGTGTTTTGGAAAGGTTTCTGTTTCTTTCCTGCATTCAGTGAAAACTGCCTTTGCCCAAAGGTAGGAAAGTCATTATTGATTTTTTTTCTTCACACACACACACACACACACACACACACACACACACACACACATATAGACACACGTATGGTGGAGAGAGAGAGAGTAAACTGGAGAGAGAAATCTCAAATCTTCTTTGGTATTTTCTGGTATTAATAAACAGAGTAAAGCTTCTGGAAGCATCTACATGCTGTAGGATCCACTTCTCATTTCAAAAACCTAGAAATCTAGATTCATTGTGATGAGCAGATAAATCCTTAAATAAATTAATCATTCTTCAAAATAGTGGTGAAGTCTTACACACATTTAATTTCTGACTGAATTTGTCCCTATAATCTAGATCCTCACATTAACAGCAAAATGAGAGTTGTACAGAGACAATTATCATTTTAGTATTTCCCCAGCAGGGTCCATTGCATCAGATACTATGAAGAAAATAAGTTAATATATTTAGAACAAGCAGCCTGTTTTGCTCCTACGTCACCACTCGTGGCCAGAGAAAACAGGTGGCTTGTCAGTTCTTGGGGCTGTTACACTGCATGTGAGGTGTGTCTAAGTTCTTTCTTTTATTTTCCTCCCTTCCCCTTACTCTTGGTCTGCAGGAGCTCTCCTTAGCTCTGAGATGTTTGTCATCCTCATGCTCTACCTCTGGCTTGGGATCGGACTGGCCTGCGCTGGCTTCTGCTGCCACCAGATGCTGCTGATCCTGCGTGGGCAGACTCGGTACCAGGTGCGGAAAGGGATGGTGGTAAGAGCCCGGCCCTGGAGGGAGAACCTGCAAGAGGTCTTTGGCAAGAGGTGGCTGCTAGGACTTCTCATCCCTGTGCTGAATGTGGAAAGTGACTACCGTAGGCAGAAAGAGAAATAAAATCCTCATGTGTGTGTGTGCATCCCATGCACACAACACCTCCCCTGTTCTCTCTCACACCTCCTGGATCACTAAAGAGCTGGGCTACTCCATTTCTTGGTATTGCAGCCACTGTGGGAGGAAAGGATGGGCTATCAAACAGAATAAATTTAGCATATTAACATGGAGATCACAAACCATGTAGATGAGATACTGCAGCTTAGTAGTCACATCACTGCACCTGCATATGTGGCAACAGTCTTTGAACTAGTAGAAAAATTAGTCAGACCTTCTCGTGGCTCCCTACCTGACTCCTCCAGTCCCCAGCCCCATTAGTCATCCTAACAAACCACAGCAGGAGCTTTCAGAGAGGCTGTACTGTTGTGATAGACTGCAAAAATGGTGTCTATTCCTTGGCAGGGTTTTGCAGGGTGCTGACTTGAGGCAGGGTTACATACTTGAGGTAACTTCATGTGACAGCATTCTTCAATGAGTATTGTTCAAGAAGTGTTTGGACAATGATCTCAGGCACATGATAGGATTCTTGGAGTTGTCCTGTGCAGAGCCGAGAGTTGGACTCCAGTGATCCTTGTGGGTCCCTTCCAACTCAGGATATGATTCTATGATTCACAACTCTGAGATACCCTTAATGACAGAACTACAGTGCAATCAAGCTGCCCTAGGAGCATGCTATGCACAAGGCAAATGCGGCAGGTAAACCTTCTCTCCACAGCCTAGAAGATCAGGAGGAAGACAAAGAGAAATTGAGAATTTCTCATTTCTGTTCTTGATCTGCTCTCTATGCAATGATATGTCAAGACTGTGGCTCTGCTGCTTATTTTTAGTAGTCTTTTGTCCAATGACAGAGTCCAGGCAAAGCTGCCCTTCTGACAGGAGCAGCAAGCAGATAAATCCTGATCAGATGGAGGCATAAGGAGAGGAAACTGCAAGGTGAATGAAAATGTTGTGTTTGAGAAGCTGTGTGAGGAGGCAGGTGATGCATGCCTGTGAGAGAGAAAGAGGGAAGTGTGGACACACAGTGAGCAGTTGGGAGGGTGCCAAGAGCCTTGCTGCTGCGTAAGAGCCCTGATGCATCACCCTCTCACAGGGGACACCTGCACCATTAGTACTGTGAAGAGTTCAAAATCCCAGAAGACAGGAAGGGTTTCCAGCCCATCATGACACTTCATTTTGCACTAAAACAAACAGAAAAATGGTTATCTCAGACATTCCTGCCACACTGTAGTTACAGGCTGTCCAGGGCAATTCCCTCTCGCTTTGCTGCAGGGGGGTAAATTCATCCATGTCGTAACTCCATTAAGGAGGTTAACAGAATTACTACAGGGATTAATCCACTTAATGTGTCAGTTGTTTTTTAGCTGCAGCAACAGTCCATGAGATCAGTGCTGAGACCCTATGCTAACAGGTGCCTTAAGAAAGGATACCACGATGTCTCTACTAGGATCATAGCACTGGATTCCCCAGCAGCTGCCACAAGAAGCCTCTGTTTTGGCAAACTGCATCACCGTCTGTGGGCTGGATGGGAATCCATTGCTTCTCTTTAATAGGGTGGGGAGTATGCTGACAAGCTGTGAAAAATGTTATTTCTTCCTCAGAAATGCTTGCAGTGCATCCCAGGTAGGGGAATGCATCTTGCTTTCATCCTTGCATTTCTCACAAGCCAGAACAGTGGCACTCATTCCTACAGGCTTTGTAAGTGTCTTTTACCACTTCACACTCGAATACACACATCTGAATCAATAAGAAACAAAGTCTATTGTGATGAGCAAAGTAACCTTGAAAATACAGTGGAAAATACCTTAGCTGGATAATTAAAACATGTAGGATCTACGTCCTTCCATGCTGTGTGTGTTCGCATGAACGCACCACTGTTTCCATGTGTAACATGCTGTATATTCACTAACAGTGAACAATAAAAAGTGTTCTGATTTTTTACATGAGCTGTATTGTGCTTTTTGACAGTTAGTTGTCATCAGATGTCTCTGTACACTTGTTACAGCATACATACAGATATGCTGAAGGAAGAATTTATTGGCTTTGCCAATAATTCATCATGTGATTTTTGACAAGTTCTTTCATCTTCTCTACTTTAATGTAATGACCAATCTAAAAATGCATCTAATAACCAATTTGCAGACCCATTCTAATTTCTGTCTATAAATTACACTATCAACCTCAACTGAAAGCTATGGGAAAATTAAGCTATTATCATTGCCCACAAACAGCATCTCGACATAAATTATTCCTTACTGGCAAATGGCATCAAGGTGAGCAGACAGTCACCTTGATGCTCGGACTAGAGCCAGAGTCTTGTGCCACACACGTAACCTTGGAAGGATTCCTGAGATTATTCTTATTCCACAGACTCAGTGATCCAGCTTCTTCTCCTTTAGATATTTAAAGAAAACAGGCTCTCAACATTTCAGGCAGCAGCTACCTTCTACCAGCAGAAATTATGGTCTGACATCTTTGCCCTCTGCTTTTGGTATTTGATGGCCTCTGCAGTCTTGGGCAGCTCGTGGCACTCGGTGCCTGCTACCGCAGTGCCTCAGGCTGTAAAGCTTTTTGGGGCCACACACTGAGAAGGGCAAACCAAATGAGTTTCAGTGGGCCACTCTGCATGGACAGAATCCACCCAGTACAACAGGATTAGTTGCTTGAGAAGCCCGTTGCCTGTTCCTATTGGAGCTGGATCATGCTTGGCCCCTGTGTCAGGGTCACAGCTGTCTGCCCTCACCACAATATTTCAGTCCTTGCAGCAGCACAGATCTCAGTTTGACTCAGCACAGCACAATCACACATAACTATTCTTCTTGTCAGACACCTGTGTTCCTGGCTGTAAATTGCTGCATCACCATTTTAGGCAGTTAAATGCTTCCTTTGCAGCAAACTGCTGGATTCCAGCAGTAATGGTGGGACTTTCAGATGGATATAGCCTTTACAGTTATGATCCTGTGGAATGGAAAGATCTATAAAAAATATAACATTAGACTGACCCCATACTGGCTTATTTCCCTGCTCATTTCCAAGTGTGTGGACTGCCCGTTTTGGGTAGTGGTTCTGCAGGAACAGTTAAGAGCAGCTCTTTCATTAGCCAGCTGCCCTGACATGCCTTCCTTGCCATACCTTTCTATACTTGTAGAAATCCTTGGCAAGAAAATGTACCAAGGCTCAAAAACTATGAACAGAACTTTTGCTCTTTGCTATGATTTAGTAAATGAAGGCTAACTCAATGGCAGTGTCACAAATTCTAAATCTGTTCAATGGCTTTCAAGTTTTCTAAGGATAAAAAAAAAAAAAAAGCTTCACATCCTCTGTGCTTAGAGAGTCATATACTTAGTATTTGCATTTCATTACATGGCAGCTGCAATAGCAAATGTATTTTGGATCATGATTTCTTGTAACAATGCCAAAATATTTACAAAGGTTGTAAAAATAAAGCACTTAAGGCTTTTCTGACTTTGGAAAATCAAATGACCACCATTTCTTCTCTGATAATGCCAGTGGCTGAAGTAAAAGCTCCCTGTTGCTAAAGATCTTGCACAAAACCCACAGATTTTTGCTTAGTGGCTTGTCTATTTCAAATGTGACTACCTGAAAATATGGTGTCACCTCTGAGGTCTCAGAAACCTTTGCAATGACAGTGTAGAGCAAATTAGGGGATGCAACTCTGAAGTAAACCAGAAGTCTGTTCTCACATATAGCAAGAATCTCATATAAAGTAAGTAGGAGATGATTTTCCTCTTCATACTACATTATTGGGCAGCCCTGAAGGCCTGCATGCAAAAGGTCTTCCTTAGATATTCTCAGAGGATATAGAGTTAAAACATGAGTCTCAAGTAATAAGGCAGAGGGAACATAGGAGAAGAAATGACATGAAATAGCATTTATCTTAAGAAATAACCAACTCAAGGGAGATGATCACAGTCTAAAAATACTCGCAAGGAGACAGACTAAATGAACGAGGAGACTCATTAACTGTAAGGAGATAGCTGGAGGAGGACAAGCAGTCCTGGACTGAGGGACAGAAAAACTGAGGTTGAGAGCAACCAGAGAAAGTGGCCTCAGTGAGAGCAGAAGCGATTTGACGTGTATAGGGGATGATGAGAGCCATCAGGCAATATGAGGCATGACAACAGAATTCAAGTTACCTTCACTGATTGTTGACTGAATGAACATAGTTAAGAAAACTCATTACTAATCACTTTCTGCTCAAAAAACCTCAAAAACCCAGGAGAGTCAAAAAGGTTTTTCTCTCTTGAACAGCAAATTATGTTATAAGCAGGAGACACATGGATAGAAGTCATGAGTAGCAACAGCAGAGTCTATATAATTCTTTTTGAGTTATTTAAAGACTAACCAGAACTATCATGGTTGGAGTGAAGCAATGACCTACTTGTTCAATATAAATGAATAAAGGGAGAAGAAAATTTTAAATCATATGTGGAGTCTCTGTGCCCTGCTAGATATTCAAATCTACGGAAACATGATGTCAGATGGCAGTAAGATGGTCTCTAATAACAATGTGCCCACATGTGGGGTCTCTGCTTTTCTAGTTCTTTTCCAGAAAGCCAGGGGAGTGAAGAATCCTTGAAGATTACACCAAAAGCCAGCAAATATGGACCAAAGTTCTTCAGTCCTTTTATGGAGCCATCCTAGCAGCAGCCTTGTCCTCATTACACCCAAGAGCTTTCAGCACTGGCTGTCCTACTGAATCTAACTGGCAAGTGATGTCAGAGGTCTGGCAGGCCAGTCCCATGTCTCTTAAGGTTTTCGGAGCCAGATTCCTCTAGTCTCGCCAGATGTTTACAAATAAAAAATGCAAGTTCCCAAGTACCAGTGTCATATACTATTTGCACAGTGCCTCATTTAATGTGTCGTCAATCACCTTAATAGTACTTCCAGAATTGCTATCAATTAAAAATAAGTGGAGCATGTTCAGTTTACTTCGAAAGAGGCAAGGCAGTGGATGGCAATAGCAAGCTCTACATGAAAGTTTCATTTGTCTGGTACTGATTTTACTGTATATCCACGAGCTTAGGGGAATGCACAGCCTCTGGCCTGTATTTCAGCTGTTTTGTTCAGTCTGTCTTTATCACCATTCATTCCCAGATTCATGTTATTATCATGCCTGACTGGAAAATTTTCATTAGCTGTCAGGTCAGTCTTTTTGCTGCTTGTGTTGGACAAGAAGAGATAGGACCTGAACTTATGTATCATCAGACTGCTGAAAAAACAATAGATTGGTTCGTCATCGCAATACCCTTAATAATCTTATATGTTCACTGGGCAAGGGAGTTAACACAGTGGACCCACATGAGAGTACCCTAGGAGCTAACAAGCAGCTTCTGAATGCAGCCTTGTTACAGAGGTGATTATCAAGGAATTATGTTATCATCCAGAACTGCTTAAGACCATAGATAAGCTTTATGGTCAGTGACAAAAAACCCAAGAAACAGATCAGCAAAGACTCCTAGTGGTTTATGGTTGTGGGAGGAAATTGTTGACCAGTACAACAAGCAATCTTTGTTGGTCTAAACATGAACTGCCAGATGCTATGAAAGCTGCTTTGGGAAAGCAGCTTTCCAGTTCACAAAGTCCACAAAGTCCAGATGCTATGAAAGTTGCTTTGGGAAAAAACTTCAAAATAGCACTACCTAAAGGAGAAAGTGATTTGCTAATTAAGAACTCCCAAGAACTCAATGCTAAGATCAAAGTTCTGAGTCCTTCAAAACTTGGAGAACATGTCCCCCTACTGACAACTTTCAGGAATCAGTTCTTTATTAATGTCCACTGAGTTTGATATGCAAGGCTGTCACTAGATGTTCTCCCAAAACAACCAGTGCTATATTAAGTAAGAGTGGTTTATACAGCACTGAAGACCACCATAGGTCCTTCCAGTAGTATGTATTGATACTATGATTTTCTTCAGAGAACACCTGTAACACTCAGTGGGATGGATTTCGCTGAGAAAACCTTGATTAATTAAGCAGTTTATTACACTAAAGAAAACTAAGATGATGGAAGTACAATTGTCAAGAGAAATAATTCTTTCTTTTCTCTTCAAGCCATTGTACAGGGTATAAAAAAAATCTTTTGGACTGATCTATCAATGTCTTTGAAGTAGTATGCACTAGACTGCAATTTACTGACAGCTCTAGCTGTCTTTCTTAATGCTTCCATTGTCATCAACCATCCAAGGAAGTAAGTCGTGAATATGAAGCTATTGAAATAAGCTAAGAAAGAAAAATGTGGCAACAAAGTTCTACCTCGCTATCAAAGATGCAGTTCATGGAGACCTAAAATCTCTTTTAAAGCTGTGGAAACAAACCTCAAAAAACTCATAATAATGTCATGCCAAGAGGAAAGGTGAAACTTCAGATCAAACTCTAAGATCCAGTTTCTGGCTCTCAGAACTGAAGTGCTTTTCAGGTGTATGGATTGAGTCCACCACCATCTTAGATCATTCCACTGCTTCAGGATAGACAGGCATGTCAGAAGTTTGACTATATAATCAATGGAGCGGGCAGGCACACTCAGCCTGGGCAGTGCCAATATCCTGTTGCAAGAGATGCCATCAGCTCAGAAGGAAATGTTACTATCCAGGCTGTCAACAGGGCACTAAAAGCCCTTTAGCTTTTACTAAGCTAAGGTAAGGATTTTTCCTGTTACACAGAAGCTTCCTCTCAGATCCAGGTATAGAGTAGAAAAAATTCTGTAGTCAGGCTGGAGGCCAACACCACATTTCTCCACTTTGCAATCTCTTTTTCGCTTTGTGTATGGACTACTCATGAACTAATATGGCCAAAACTTGTTCAGCGTCATCCAATCACCTATTGGCATCTACTGAGAAGGGATGAATTTCAGCAGGGGCTCATGAGGATACATATTATGTTGATGGGAAAAGAGAAGAAATGTATGAAATATGTGAAAGA